GAGATTTTATTGTGCATGGGTTCAATGAAAAGTTTTGGTTTTTAGCAAATAAGTATTTTTCTAGTACTAGTATCTATAGTTTGTCGGATTCTGCTGAATTTGGTTTTATCGACTATTTTTTGCTTTGTTTGTATATAGGTATGAGTGGGTTTGCTTTAATCACTTAAAGATTATATCATGGTGGGGTCTTAGAGTTTGGAAATGGTTAATCAACTGAAGATAGTGATGATTCTGAAGACAGTGACTTCTTTGGAGGGGATGATTATGGCAGTGATGTACTTGAGGAGTACATAGAGATTAGGAAGGAAAGTAGGTCATTTCAAAGTAGAAAAAGAAAAGAGAAAGTTGTTGTTGATACTAAAGATGTACCATGTGGTGATGCTGGGCCAGATCTTGGTTTTGATGAGACTGAAACAGGTAAAAGAGTGTAGAAGAAAGGCTAGGTGGTGATGAACCATATTATCCAAGTTCTGATGCTTGTAGCTTTGAAACCGATGAAGATGAATGTTGGAATAAAGATGGGGAAGATAGGAATATGGGTGTCAATGGATATTTAAAAACCGACTAAACCGACTGAACCGTACCGAACCGATTTTTAGGTTTCTTTTAATAACACCGTAGGTTTTAATATAAATCTATAACCGTACCGATAATTAGGGTAGATTTTTTATTTTATGAAAATAAACCGAAAAAATACTGAACCGTACCGAACCGATTTTTAGGTTTCTTTTAATAACACCGTAGGTTTTAATATAAATCTATAACCGTACCGATAATTAGGGTAGATTTTTTATTTTATGAAAATAAACCGAAAAAATACTGAACCGTACCGAATAAATTTAGATGTAAAAAATTTATTTATATATTACGTTTAAAAATAACAAAGCATTAAATTATTCTTCCTTGGGCCGTGAAATTATGAAAACGGTTACAAGCTAACAAGTAAACTCAAAATCCTAATTCCCAAACCTATTATGCTACTCCTATTGAAATTAAATTATTTTCAACATATTCACTAGCAAGACACAAGGTATTCTAGCAATTATGAGTAGTAAAGTACAATGTATTGAATATGTTTCCTTTCGTATGATTTAGATTTATCTTTTTGAATATTTAATCTTCTATAGACTTTATTCTTGAGTCTCAGCGTGGTTCATATCTTTCCACTCGTGTGATTTATATTTTCTTTGTCTTTGCTTAGTTTTTTTTACACTGCTATAGAATAATTGATGGATCTATACTCTAGCCATCTTTCATGTTTTCTTAATTCATTACTCTTTAAACAGTAAAAATGTCCAGAGAGTTTTGTGAAGTCCTATAAAAGTACGCAGGTTATTGCATTCTACTTCTACTAGTGACTTTTACATGACGTTAAAAAAATAACCGAAAATTAACCGAACCGTACCGATATCGAATAGAAACTGACATGATTGGGACGGTTTCAGAAAGTCTAATTTTGGTTATACATAGTAGAATAACCGAAAAAATAGTATGGTATAAATTTTATAAAATAACCGGCTGAACCGAACCATTGGCACCCCTAGATAGGAAGGTAAAGCTAACAAAAAGGAGATCTACATCTACAAAGAGTGTGACGTTTGATAAAATATGTAAAAAGATTGTATGGCAGTTGGGTATGATCTTTGAGAGTGTTGATGACTTAAGAGATGCAGTTGAAAAGCATGTAAATGAGCCAACTAGAGTCAGGCTGAGGTGCACCAAGAATAACTGCAATTGGCTTTTGTTTGCAAGCTTGGACAGTGTAAGGTAATAATTTTGTTATAAGAACTTACAATCCAGTTCACAAGTGTGAGAGGGCCTCCAGACATTATTTGTGAAATTGTAAATTCTTGGACAAGATCTTTAAAGATAGAATAACTGAACAACCAAACATAAGAGTATTCAAGTTGCAAGAATTAATTAGGAAGAAATTCAAAGTTCATGTTGGTAAGACCACAACCAGGAGAGCAAGAGCTAAAGTACTGCAACAAATAATGGGTGATCATAATGTGGAGTTTGGTAGAATTGTTAAGGACCAACCCTGGGAGCACTTGTGTTGTGAAGCTTGGTGAACCTGATGAACTTGGTAGGCCAGTGTTTGTAAGTTTTTAAATATGTTTTGAGGCACTAAAAAATCCTTTCTTGTGGTGTAGAAAATGCATAGGCTTGGATGGTTGTTTCCTGAAGGGTGTAAGTAGGGGACAACTACTATTATTGTGGATAAGGATAGTAATAACCAAATGCTTCCACTTGCTTGGGCAGTAGTTGAATATGAGAAGAAAACTACATGGCCATGGTTCTTAACTTTGCTGAAGGAAGACTTGGGATTAGGTGATGGCACAAGCTTCACTTTGATTACTGACATGCAAAAGGTATATTTTCAGCAACTGTAACTTTGTGTTTCATTAGCTTCACTTTCTTTCTTTAAAACTGACTTATCATTCATTTTTTGTTTTTCATGTAACTGTAATTTACAGGGATTGGATTCAGCAATTAAGGAATTTTTTCCAGCTTGTGAACAAAGGATGTGTGCTAGGCACATCTTAGCTAATTTGTCAAAGAAATAGAGAGGGCTTCAAAGGAGGAACTTATTCTAGAAGTGTGCCAGAAGCACTTATGAAGCAGAATTTAAAAAAAAATCTGAAAACACTGTCAATGTTTGGCAAGAACATAGTGGATGATCTATTGTACTATGACAAGGAGTATTGGTGCAAGGTGTATTTTAACTGTGAAGTCAAGCGTGATGCAATGGATAATAACATGTCAGTGAGTTTTAATGCCTGGATCTTGATAGAAAGGCACAAGACTATTATTAGCATGCTTGAAGAGATTAGAATCAAGATGATCACCAGAATAGGTAAGTTAAGGGCATTTGCAAACACATGGAGCAACAACATATCTCCAATGGCCTTAAAGATATTAGAGGACAATATTGAAAAATCAATGAGATGTACCATTGAGTTTAATGGGCAAACATGAGATGAAGTAATGGATAATGGTAAACAACATACTGTGTACCTTAGAAAGAAGGTTTGTAGTTGCAGATCTTGGATGTTAAAGGGGATATTATGTCCACATGCCATATGTGCAATGTATTATGACAATGTTGAACCAACTGACTTCATTGATAGCTGCTACAACAAGGAGACATATTTGTTAACTTATTCTAATTTAATTCAATCATTGAGTAATATGCCAATGTGGCCTGAATCTACTAACCCTTCTGTTGCACCACCAGTTGTCAAAAGCATGTCTGGCAGACCAAAAAAGATTAGAAGGAAAGAGACAAATGAACCTAAGAAGTCTGGTAAATTACCTAAAATTGGTCTTGCAATGACATGTAGCCTCTGTCATGAGAGGGGTCACAACACAAGAGGGTGTACAAAGAGTGAAAGACTTGGTGCTAGTTCATCAACAGATGCTGCAAAACCATCACTTTCAGGAAATGGAAAAGGCAGATCAAAGGTAATGTTCGATTTTGTATCAATTTCTTTTAAATTTAGTTAATTGTCTAACATGCTTTTTTAACAGAAATCAACTACTAATGAAGGTGATCCTACTGTAAAAAGAGAAAGAGGTAGACCAAGGAAAACAACTAATGTATCTACTGCTAATGCACCTGATATTGCACCTAGTGCATCTATTGGTGCTGAATTTCCATCAACTTCTTCACCTGGCAGTTGGTTTACCTGTTCTGCTCTTAGTTCTGCACCTCCTGATACAACAACTAATATTTCTGCTGTTGCTGGAATTTCTTCAACAACTGGAGGCAGGGGAAGAGGAAGAGGAAGGGGAGGAAGGTCCACAATATATCATTCACTTGAAAGTTGGTTTTCATGTTCAGCTCCAAATGCTTCTGATATTGTATCTGCTGCATCTATTTCATCTGTTGCACCTAGTTCATCCACTGCTACTAGAGGAAGGGGAAGGGGTCTTGGAATCTTAACACCATATAAAAGGCCAAGACTGATGGGAAAGGGTGTGTTTCAGGATGAGAATGGCTTCACAACTATTAATGTAAGTGTTGATGCAATCAGTTATGCTATTATCTTAATGCACCTTGAACTAATTAAACTATTTTTTGTATAGACTAGGATGCCAAGTAGCAGAATAGTATCCACTAGATCATTAACAAAGATAACAAGATCAACTGATGTTACTGGTGACATTGGTTTCAAACCAACAAGTAGACTGAAGTGGAAAGGAAAACAAGCAATCACAACAAGAAGACTTCAAGAGATTAGAGACAAATCAAGGAATGCTAATTCACAGTCCCAAGAGCCATGGAAATTATAGTGTTGATAGGGTCCTATTGTTTTTAGTTCTATCTAGAATGGTGTTTTTGTGTTATGAAGCTGCTGAAATTTTTAAAGTGTTGATAGAATTGTGGAATATTGGTATTCAAATGTACCATTATTTTGGTTGTTGAAAACTAATGTTTTATGTTGTGTATGAAATGGTACTGAAAGTATTATGTTGGAAAGTAATGTTTTGTTATTAGATTATTGGTATTCAAATTTACCATTGAAGTGATTTGTTGGAAATTATAGTAGTTTTCTTCATATGCGATTGGTTTGGATGTTTTGAAGTCGCTGGCAGTGTGCTAACCAGCTATTGTGAAGAGGCTTCTTTCTTTTTGCCAAAATTTGCTCAAACAACAACCAAAGCAGATTTGTCAACAGAAAATGATACCATGACACCAAAATGATGTTTCATTCTAATACAATACCGAAATTATGTTTCATTGCAATATCAAAATGAAGTAGACAACCAAACCACATCTAACTTACTCTATCCGACATCAATACCAAAATGATCTTCTATTATGACAACAACCAAAAATGGTCTTATATTATAACAACAGTCAGCTACTATGGCAACACCATTTGATTTTTCTTCAAGTTGCCAGCTTGGATTAATCTGCTAACATACACAACAACTACACAAATCATAATACACCAAATTAGTTTTCTACACAAGTTTCTTCTATTTTTTTTCCTTCATACTCTTCTCTTTCGAATCAACATTCTGTTTTGAATCTTCAAGCTCATCCAAATACAGCTTAAGACGGTCGTAATTTTCTTCTAACTCTTTGATTTTGTTTACCAATCTTGGAAGAATAAACTTTGATCACTCATCAACTCTTTCCTTGTCTCTTCATCTGAAAAACTTGCAATTTGTGGCCTGAAATTTAAAGAATACAATAATGACCCAATCAACATTAATTTTCAAATTAATCGATAGGCTTAGAACATGAACACATACCTCATAGTGAGGACAAACCAAAATCGTCTTTTGGGATTTCGATCTGACCAAGAAGTTTGCATTTGCAGCAAAATACGATGTTTGCATCGCACTTTGACATTGAGCATTGGATCATCTTTGTCCATGCACAGTTTATTCAACTTGGTGTTTGCCATTCCTAACCCTATGATTTCATAGACATAAATTAGGGAAGAAATTAAAAAAACCCTAACAGAAAATCGAGTCAAAGGGAGGAATTTACACAAAAAATTCACTTACCTCTTCAAACCAAAGAAAATTGGAAGTCAAACCCCAGCTTCAAAAGTCTTGAAAATGGCCGGTATAATGGGAAAGAAAACATTTTATGTTTAGAAGAAGAGCTCTTATCAGCTTTGAGAACGACACGTGGCCATTTTTTATAGGTTAAAGCCTTTTTCTTTAATTTACTACGCGCTTGGGGCGGTGTATTCACGTTCCAGTCCAGATCAGCACAAAAGGTCCAAATAATTAAGGTAAATTTTTTTTTAGGGGTACTAGAAATTCCGCAAAGAAAAAATGTGTACTTGAAACTTTGGGTATAGCTGAAGTGGGTAATTATGAATATTTAAGTCCAGTCTAGAGGGCTCCTCCTGAAAAGATAAAAAAAAAAAGAGCTATTAGGATTTTAAAGTTATATATATTTCGAGACATCTTGCTATCTTAAATAAGCTCAAGAGAATTATATCGGGTGGGGATAAATCTGCAAAGTGTTTACCAGTTATTGTTAGTAATTATATTGACTTGACAATGGATTGAATTATTTAATAACATAACTATAGTCTAAAAGTTATATATTTACTAAGTAATGCAAGAAATAAATAAACAATTATAAAGGCACGAACAAGTACCAAGGCTGGCTAACCGTCTCAAGATATTGGAGGCTGTAAATCGTCATTAGTGATCTCTATATAAGCAACTCTGCAAGTGTATGGCCAAAAATCTTAATATTCAAAATATCGACCAAGATTTGGTGTTGTTCCTACTTCATTAGAATTTCTTTTTCTATTCATCATATAATGTTATCCACTACTTACAATATGTTAAGCTCGGATTTGAGGTAAGTGAGACCTTCAGCCTCTTGAGTGCTTGCTTTTTTAAAAATGAGTTATAACTTGCATAAATGCTTTCACATACCTACTATATTATGGGCGAGCATGTACTAGGTCATTATATCTTTTCGATAGACCGTTATGCATCTTATGACTTAGAGAGTGTTTGGATTGACTTAAAAGCTGTTCAAACCAACTTAAAAGTACTTTTTAGCTTATTTTGATGTTTGACAAATACAAAAAGTCAAGTAATTTTAAGCAAAAAAACTAAAAACAAGCCAAAAGAAATAAGTTGGTCTATCACAACTTATTTTTTTTTGGGCTTATGAGTTTGACCAAGTAATTTGCCTTATTATCCCTTACATACTTCTATAATTACCAAAGTACCCTCTCTTACTAAAACCTCTAACCCGTTTATTTTTCTTCCCATTTCTTCCTAACTGGTATCATAACCTCAGGAACATTCTAAATTGATTAGCAATACTTGTTTCTCAACTTCAAAAGCTTTCTAACTCCTTCAGATTCCATTTTTGATTCATTTACATAATCAAAAATGAAAGCAAAAGGCNCAGGAACATTCTAAATTGATTAGCAATACTTGTTTCTCAACTTCAAAAGCTTTCTAACTCCTTCCGATTCCATTTTTGATTCATTTGCCTAATCAAAAATGAAAGCAGAAGGCAAAAAAGTAACTTTTACTGGTTCTTCGATTTTGAAAAGTACTTAACGTTAATTTATTTACTTTGTGGTAATATTATATGAATTGTTTATATAATTTAAGTATATTTTTTAATTACAATTACTAATTGATGTTTTACCTAATAAGTACTTTATATTAATTAAAATAATCTTATCTAATAAGTATTATAAATTAAACTGAATTGATACACAAATTAATCTGCATTTGAGTTAATTTAAAATTTAAAATGCATCAATAAGCTTATTTTTAGTGTTGACAGCTTTAAGGGCATCTCGGTCATTTTAACAGAAAAATGAGCTTATCAGCACTTGTTTACCAAACATTTTAATAGTTTTTTTTCAGTTTAAGCACTTCTATCCAAACACGTTACTGCTTATTTGTAAAACAAGCTCAAGAACTTAAAAAGTACTTTTAAGCACTTATGCTTAAAAGTCACTTTTTTCCGGCCAATCCAAACGGGCTCTTATTCGTCATACTTTTGAGATACCAAAGCATGAGCACGATTATTATTCATCTCGTTGATATACGTGTTGAAAGTTATTATCCATCTCGAGATTGCATTTGATATATTATATGAACACATGCATGATATTTAAAAGACTTGCTCCACGAGGTACAACGGTGGGGGAGAGCGGGTCAGTGATTTTACTGGACTTTAGCTCACCAAAAATATTATTTACTACCTTGTGCAAATCCTTTTGCTGGTATCGCAACAGATTCAGATCTTGTTAGAGATGATAGCTGATTCCAATTAAGGTGAGCCAACCGCATCTACTCGTGGTGGTGGATTTTGACTATCCTTACTTTTATGTCTTTCTTTTTGGGCTTCAACTATGAAATTTTGTATTCGGATTTACATTAGATGCTCCATGACTTTGTTTTGGGCTTATGGGGGATTCCAGTCGCAACCGTATATTAGACTTATGCTGTATTTGAGATTTGGACAAGAGTGGGTTGCTCTAGTGGTAAGCACTTTTCACTTCCAACCAAGAGATTGTGAGTTCGAGTCACCCTAAGAGCAAGGTGGAGAATTCTTGGAGGGAGGGAGCCGAGGGTCTATCGGAAACAACCTCTCTACCCCAGGATAGGGGTAAGGTCTGCGAAAACACTACCCTTCTCAAACCCCACTAGTGGGATTATAATGAGTTGTTATTGTTGCTGTATTTGAGATTTGACTATATCTATGCTATGCTTCTGTCTTGGGCTATTAAAGTGCGACTTTTAACATTAAAATGGGAATGGTTCGCGAAATGGGTAGTAGCTCGGGGGATTTTAATTTTTAAGACACTTCAAAATTTATATTAATTTTTAAGACAAAAGTGTTAAAGAATGAGGTAGAAGTGACACTTTTGTAATTAGTGCTAATGACATAATTTTTAAAACCCCCAAAGTTTTCTTATTTACAAAAAAGTCTCCCTCCTCCTCCTCCCCCTACTCCTCTTACTCCCCTTGTTCCTCCATGTCGCAACACTCCTCTCTATCCTCCCCTTGCTTCTCCATCTCACAACGCTCCTCTCTATCCCCGCCACTCCTAATCCTCAAACATTTAGGAAGATGTTTCAAATATCTAGAGAAATGTTTCAAACATCTACTGAGATGTTTCAAAACATCTGCACAGATGTTTCAAACATTTGTGGAGATGTTTGAAATATCTGTGGAAAAAAAAAATCAAACGTCAAAAAGAAAGAAGCAGAAGAATCCGAGATATGTTTGAAACATCCCGAGAGATGTTTCATTAAGGGAATGTTTGAAACATCCCGGGTGATATTTTACATAATACTCATTTATGTGAATGACTCAAAATATCTCGAGAATATTTTGCAGAATACTCACTTTATAAAATTTCATATTTTTCTCTTTATCTCGTACATTTTAAATCACTAGAAGAAAAGAAAAAATGAAAGAAGAAGAAGAAGATGAAAATGAGATGAAGAGGGAAAGAAGAAAAAGAGAAGGAAGAAAATGAAGAACAAGAAGATTATATAGACGAACCAGCAACATTAGCAACGAAAGTTGAATAGAACGAAGAAAGTTGTCATGACCCAAACTGATGGGCCGTGACGAGTGCCCGAGTTCTACCTATCGAACACCCCTAAGCATTCATCTAAGATATAAACATGAAATAAGTGTAGGTTATGCATAACGTCTGAAAATAAACTACTGATTCATATGAACAACATACGTGGGAAAACATGCCCAAAAGACATATATACATATATATATATATATACGGAATACGGTAGGGCGAGCCGACAAGGCCACATACTATCCAACTATACATAACTGTCTACAGACCTCTAATAGAGTGTACAACTGTATAAAGTACGTGAATGGGCCCCGTCATACCCATATGTATACAAAAGTATCGTACCAAAACTCAATAGCAGCTCCGGATCAAATGGAGCATACCAACTATCGCTGAGCAGGGATCCTAAGATGGGGGACCGTCAGCCTGTCTACCTGCACCTTCCGGCATGAAACGCAGGCCCTCGGGTAATAGGGATGTCAGTATAAATAATGTCCCGAGTATGTAAGGCATAAAAATTAATATATAACAAACATGAAAGAAACATGGATTAAAGGACTCAACATATAAGCCTGAATAGCTCTGTGAATCATGAAACATTTATAATGTCATGCATATGCGTATAAATGACATATCATGCATATGTATATGCGTACATAACATCATCAAGCCTTTAAGGGCATCCCATCATATTATCTCAGCCTCTGTGGGCGAAGTCATAAACGTATACCAGCTGATCAAGTGGTGGTGCGTATATAACTCCATAACCTTTCTCCATACCCCATATACATATACTATACGCGTATATAAAGCCATCTGATCATGGGTCAATAAACATGTATAAATGGATGCAATACATAATGAAGTAAGTTAATAAGATCTCTCGGAATGTCATGAGACCCATGAACAGACGATATGATAGTAGGACATATGGGGAATCCAGAACCTAGGCAACCCTAGTACTTCTAAGAATAGAATCATTTATGAAAGTTGTGTGCTTACTCATTTCGTTGTATTATATGGATCATGCCGAAAGAAAATAAGGGATAGCCTTAACATACCTCAAGTCATCAATTCAACTCAACAACAAGCTTATAAAAACTTGTGCGAAAACCCTATAACAAAGAAATACATGTACGACTTAGATAGTGGTGCTAGTATATTACGTATCTCAAATGATAACTCGAATCTAAAATAGAACGGGCAACATTTCCCCTGATTTTACTGCTCCCTCAAATCTACTATAGGTGAGATACAAACACAATACAATCAGCAACTCAAAACCAACCTAATTACAATTCGGAACCTTCAATACAACAAAAATCCCAAATATACCATAACACACCCAATCAACAAGTTATCAATTAGCCTGAAACTGCAACGACGAGCGACCAACCTACAAACCTACCATATGTGGCATTTCTCCACGCTTTTTTATCCTTCCAAACTCCATAAATCAGCAGCACAACAGGCCAACATGAGTGGACTACAAAACAGTCCACTAAAAGTGGAAAAAAATCGAAC